GAAATAAGGAAATCAACACCATTCACAATAGCTATCAAAAAAATAAAATACTTGGGAATAAATCTTACCAGGGACACAAAAGACCTGTACAAAGAAAATTATAAAAAACTACTTCAAGAAACCATAAGAGATCTACATAAATGGAAAATATGCCAAGCTTGTGGATAGGAAGACTGAACATTGTGAAAATGTCAATTCTACCCAAGGCAATCTATACATTCCCTGCAATCCCAATCCAGATCCCATCACTATTTTTTAAGGATATGGAAAAACCAATCATTAATTTTATTTGGAAAGGAAAGAGACCCTGGAAAAGCAAAGCACTATTGAAGAAGAACAACAAAGTAGTAGGTCTCACACTGCTGAATCTCAAAACCTACTATACAGCCACAGTAGTCAAAACTGCCTGGTGTTGGTTTAATGACAGATACATAGACCAATGGAATAGAATTTAGAACCCAGGAAGTAGATCCATCGACCTATGGTCAGATGATCTTTGACAAAGGCCAACAAACATATGAAGAAATGCTCATGATCATTAGCCATTAGAGAGTTGCAAATCAAAACAATGAGATACCATCTTGCCCCAGCACTAGTAGCAAAGTTCAACAAGACAGAAAATAATAAATGCTGGTGAGGTTGTGGAGACATTGGGACTCTCATACACTGCTGGTGGGAATGTAAAATGGTACAACCATTGTGGAAAGCAGTATGGTGATTCCTTAGAAAGTTGGAAATAGAAATACCATTTAATCCAGCCATTCCATTACTAGGTATATATATCCTAAAGAAGTGACAGCCATGACAAGAACAGACATATGCACACCCATGTTCATCGCAGCACTATTTACAATAGCCAAAAGATGGAAGCAACCTGGGTGTCCATCAACTGAGGAATGGATAACCAAAGTATTGTACACACACACAACGGAATACTATACAACCCTAAAGAATAACGTAGAATCTGAATACCACGCATAATGTGGATGAATTTGGAGGACACTATGCTGAGTGAAATAAGTCAATCACAGAAGGGCAAATATTGTATTAATCCATTATTGCAAAAGTCAAGGAATGGTTTATATGTGGAAGGAAATTTTCTTTATTGGTTACCAGGGGTGGGAGGGTAGGGTAGGGAACACTGTTAGATAGGTAGAGGTAAGTATTGATTTGGGTGAAGAGAAGGGCAATGTACCAAATGTGAGTGATCAACATGATGGCAATGAGGAAGAGGAAGACATAGAGAGGTACATG